ACACAATTGAAGAAATTCTTCAGGAAGATGGAAGAGGAGACACAAACAGCATCATATTGGGAGACTGGAACAGCATTGTTGGAGATGAACCATATCAGAATATTGTTGGATCACATGGACTAGGAAGACAGAATCACAGGTGTCAAATGCTTATTGACTTTTGTGTACGAAATGGACTGATTGTCACCAACACTTGGTTCAAGAAGCCAAAAAGAAGAATTTACACATGGAAGGCACCTGGGGATTGGAAGAGGCATCAGCTGGACTACATCCTTGTGAAACATCGATTCAGAAACAGTGTGAAGGATGTGAAGACGCTTCCTGGGGCAGACATTGACTCTGACCACAACTTGCTGGTTGCCAAGTTCCGAACCAGGTTGAAGAAAATTATAGGATTTCGAAAGCGCAGACCCAGATGGGATTTGGAGAAGTTATATGCTCAAAGACAAAGCGTGCAAGAGACTCTAGAAGAGAAACTCGGTGCAATTGAAGGTGAAAGCGGAAATGCTGAAGCGCAGTGGAACGATATAAAAGAATGCATGTTAGATACTATCAGTGATTTGGTTGGTAAAGTTGAAAAGACAGCAAGAAAACCATGGGTTACACAGGAGATGATGAGTAAAATGGAGGAGCGAAGGAAATGGAAGAATGTCAACAATGAAGAAGGCAGGAGGAAATACAGGAGACTGAGGAATGAATTGAAAAGAGCCACGGACAGGGCCAAAAAGGAATATCTTGAGAAGATATGTAATGAGATTATGGAATTTCAAAGAACAGGCCGTTATGATTTGATGTACATGAAGACAAAAGAACTAGGATGGAAAGAGAATCATGGGATTCAAAATGTTGGCATCGAAGACTCCCAGGGGAATAGAATAGTAGATCAGAGGCAAGTGCTGAAAATTTGGGAAAATTATATTTCAGAACTATATGATCGACCTAATCGGCCAGAAACCTTAGAAGTTGAACCGGAAGAAGAAGTAGATACAGACGAGAAAGGACCATATATTTTACAAAGTGAGGTGGAAAAAGCTATCAAGGAAATGAGGAAGGGAAAGGCTACAGGAGATGATGATGTACCTGGAGATGTGCTCAAGTTACTGGGAGAAGGTGGTTTGAAAACACTGACAAAACTAATGAACACCATATATGAAAGTGGAGAGTGGCCCAAGGACTTTACAGAAGTTACAATGATTGCCTTAAAGAAAAAGACAAAAGCTACAAAATGCAGCGACCATCGCACAATAAGTCTTATTGCACATACAGCAAAGATAATAGCAAAGATACTTAAAAGAAGAATTGAAAGGAAAATAGAGGATGTACTTGGAGAAGATCAGTTTGGATTTAGAAGAGGAAAAGGAACCAGGGATGCAATTGGGATGATGAGAATTATAGCGGAACGAACTTTGGAGATAGATGAAGAACTGTGTGTTTGCTTCATAGACTGGCAGAAGGCATTTGACCGGGTAAACTGGACCAAATTAATGCAGATCCTGAAAGAAACAGGTATCGATTGGCATGAAAGAAGATTGATTAGCAAATTGTACATGGATCAGAAAGTTAGAGTACGACTGGACAGGGGGGAGACAGGAAGTGTGCAGATTGGAAGAGGAGTTCGACAAGGATGCTGTTTATCACCAATTCTGTTCAACTTGTACAGCGAATGCCTTACCAAGGAAGCTCTGGATGGGCTCGGTGACTTCAAAGTAGGAGGGCAAATTATTCAAACTGTGAAATATGCAGATGACCTTGTGTTAATGGCTAAGGAAGAAACTGTGCTACAGGGCATGATTGATAGACTAATTGAAATTGGAAGGTGCTATGGCATGGAAATGAATGTGGAGAAAACAAAAGTAATGAAAATTTCGAGACAACCAACCCCAGTCACAATAAAGATAGACCAAAAACAAGTGGAGAATGTGAAATGTTTTAAATATTTGGGTAGCTTGTTAACAGATGATGGAAGGTGTACTTGTGAAATTAAATCCAGGATTGCCATGGCAAAAGCTGCATTTAGCAAGAAGAAGAATCTTTTTACCAGCAAATTGGACTTAAATTTGAGGAAGAAACTAGTGAAATGCTACATTTGGAGCATAGCTCTGTATGGGGCTGAAACATGGACACTTAGGGCAGTAGATCAGAAACATCTGGAAAGTTTCGAAATGTGGTGTTGGAGAAGGGTGGAGAAGATCAGTTGGACCGATTATGTGAGAAATGAAGAAGTGTTGATTAGAGTCAGTGAGCAGAGAAATATCATAAACGAAATAAGAAAATGGAAGGCTAATTGGATTGGTCATGTTTTACGCAGAAACTGCCTTCTAAAAGAAGTTATTGAAGGAAAGATAGAGGGGCGGATAGAAGCGACAAGAAGACGAGGAAGAAGACGTAAGAAGATGCTGGATGACCTTGAGGACAGAAGAGGATACTGTCATTTGAAGGAGAAAGCTCTAGATCGCATTCAGTGGAGGAACTGTTTTGGAAGAGACTGTGGACCTGTCGTCTGACAGATTACTGATGATGATGATGATGATGATTATTACTGTGTAGACGGTCCTATTAATACTACTGCATGACACACAACAGTATGTGTACCATGAAAACTAATTTCATGGAGCTGAGCACTTCTTCAGAAGCCACCAATTGTGCAGCTACTCAAGAATCTCCCAGCATTTTATGGAACCCAAAGGTTCATTTCCGTGTTCACAAGAGCCCTCCATTGGTCCCTATCCTGAGGCAGATCAATCAAATCCATACCATCCCATCCTATTTATGATCCACTTTTATACTGTCCACCCACCTACATCTTGATCTCTTTCCTTCTGGCTTTCCCCACCAATATCCTACATACATTTCTCTTTGCCCCCATTGTGCTTCATGCCCTGCTCATCTAGTCCTGCTTGACTTGATCATTTCACTTGGAGAAGAGTAGAAATTATGAAGCTCCTCATTATTCAGTTTTCTTGGTCTTCCTAGTGGTCTCTTTCCTTATGGCTTTCCCATCAATATCCTATGTATATTCCTCTTTGCCTCCATTGTCTACATGCCCTGCTCATTTCAACCTGCTTGACTTGATCATTTCACTTGGAGAAGTGTACAAATTATGAAGCTCCTCATTATTCAATTTCTCCAACCTCCTGTCACTTCATCTCTCTTCGATCCAGATATTCTCCTCAACACCCTCTTCTAAAACACCCTCAGTCTATGTTTCTCCCTTAGCGTCAGAGACTAAGTTTCACACTCATACAGAACCACAGGCAATATTACAGTTCTGTATATTCTAATTTTTATGTTTTTGGACAGCAGACGAGAAGACACCAGCTTCTGCACTGAATGGTAGCAAGCGTTATCCGAGTTCAATCTCCTCTTAATTTCCTCCTCAATCAGGTTTCGATTTTCCACCATTAATGCAACATGACTATCTTAGTGTAAGCTCAAAGACTAAAAAAACATCAACACAATTACAGTCAGATTGTGTAAAGATGTGATTAAGGACATAATACAAGAAAATTTTAAAATACTAGCTCTGTAGAATTCCTAAGAAGAAAACATTAAATGAACCCAGCTTCTTACGTCACAGACTGAAGCCATGATACACCACTATTAGACAAGATTTATGTTCACTGTTCCTATGTTGTTATTCAGGTAAATTCAAAGTGTCAGTTTATAAACAGCAGCAGATACAACACAAACTTTAAAAGAAACGTGGAAAGTAAAATCATACAATAAAAAGCAAATCCATTAATCGGTATATGTATCAAAATATAATTTTTTAAT